TACGGAAAAAAAAAAAAAAAAAAAAAAAAAAAAAAGAAAAACAATCGATCGCTCTTTCTTTTTTTCGCTTAACCGAGTGTCATCCGAAAATTTCCGCCAGCGCGGCTGTACTAATTCATGTTATTGCGCGAGTGACGACGCAGATTTGTTTCTCCCTGGAACTCTCCGGCTTCATTATCGATCTGTCGTCGAGTGTGACGTATGTGTGCGCGCACAATGGACAATGCCTTATACACGTGTGTGTGTGAGTGTGTCAGCGCGAAAGAGCATCATCTTCTTTCGTCTCGCGAGCTTTGTTATCTTGGCCACGCTCGAGTGGGCGCGCGCGTGTGTTTGAAGATCGGACTATTATATATATATTTCTAGTTGTCGAATGAAAGTTTGTTCGAGCGAGAGACGAAAGGAAATATTTATTGAAATGCTTGTATGTATGTATATATATATATCCATACACGTTACGGCTCAGCGTTGCGCCACTCGGAGAAGGTAATTGGGCTATTGTGACAATTCAAACACACGAACTTGAACTACCGATGTTTATCATCATCCTCCACGGGGATTCCCTCCCCCTCTTCACTTAAAAGGTATATAATATCGAGGAAGAACAATCCGTTTCGATCTTTTACTCTCCCAATCGGTAAACAATCATTGCGCGATTGCGCAAACTACAATGTATAGAGTAAATATTTGTACTATTTATGGTGTACGAGTCTATATATATATACATCATGTAATCTTGCGGTGTTTGCCAACAAAAAAAAAGTTGCTGACCATTTTGTGTTTATTACCCACCCCCAACCCCTCGTTAGTCGGATAAACAAATAGAGGGAAAAAAGTTGGCCAACCAAAAATTGCTAAACCACGAGAGAGTATATATATTATGTACCGCGCGCGTGTTGCCATGTATATATGTATTATTGTATGTCGTGAACGCGATGCATGTGTGTGTGTGTGTGTTCTCGTTCTCGTCGCGCCGGCGCGAGCATACGCGTGAAGTGTATATAAATATAAAAAGAGAGACACATCGGGCTACTCTTCCCTTCTGGTTCACGGCCGACTCGCGGTGTACGTACCATATAGCTGCAGGTGGAGGCGCGCTCCCGATAAGGAGAAAAAAAAACAAAAAAAAAAAAAAACATAAAGATCGATCGAGCCATTTTCCGGGAAGCAGTCGAGCAGGCTTCCACCCTCACGTGTACCTGTACATGAGTAATACTCGAGAGCTACGTACATATAGGTATATAATATATCGTACGGAGGGAGACGGAGGACTGCACACATATATATATATATAAATGTGATAAATGTGACCAGCAGCTCTGTGATACGGATGAGATAATTTTTTTGTTTTGTTTCACATGAGATTCATTAGAGGGAACCCAAGCGACACTTGATTATCGTCTGCGGTGTTTGTGGGCTTGGCTGTCTCGTACGTCACTTTGATTTTGTTATCTCGTGGTGAAATTTCTCTCGTCAAGAGAAATACTAATAATTATCGTTTCCGTGCAAAAAACATGGAAAACAATAAAATATAAAAATAACATTACTCTTTTTTTGCATCCCAAAAATGTTTGTTTGTAACTATATACCGTTGAAATTTGTCTGCAGTGCTGATTTTAAAATCCATACGTTTCGGTTACTCCTGAATTGACTCCGCAAAGTTTCACAGCGAAAAATAATGCAAAAATCGAGAGGGATAATTCGAGGTAATGCTGCGGATGCGCCATTTCCTGGTGGAAACGAGAAAAAAAAAAAGAAAAAAAAAAAAAAAAAAAAAAAAAAAAAACAATAAAAAAAAAAGAAAAACAATCGATCGCTCTTTCTTTTTTTCGCTTAACCGAGTGTCATCCGAAAATTTCCGCCAGCGCGGCTGTACTAATTCATGTTATTGCGCGAGTGACGACGCAGATTTGTTTCTCCCTGGAACTCTCCGGCTTCATTATCGATCTGTCGTCGAGTGTGACGTATGTGTGCGCGCACAATGGACAATGCCTTATACACGTGTGTGTGTGAGTGTGTCAGCGCGAAAGAGCATCATCTTCTTTCGTCTCGCGAGCTTTGTTATCTTGGCCACGCTCGAGTGGGCGCGCGCGTGTGTTTGAAGATCGGACTATTATATATATATTTCTAGTTGTCGAATGAAAGTTTGTTCGAGCGAGAGACGAAAGGAAATATTTATTGAAATGCTTGTATGTATGTATATATATTTATGCAAATTTTTATTTTATCTGACGGATTAAAGTTCTTATTTAATTTCAATTTGGATCAGAGGACAAGTGCTGAGAGGTAATCCGGATAAAGGAATCAGATATTTTTATTTTAATTTAAAAAAAAAAGTGTCTCTGTAGGATTACACGGTTTTTATTTAAGAGTTATAATTAGGGGAACATTAAAAGAAATATTTGAAAATATAGAGAAAGAAATCTTACAATAAACGTTGCGTTCTCATTGTAATCGCTTACAATTGGTGGAGAACATATTATAATGCATTTTGTTCTACATCACCGAGCAGAGGCATCAGTAAGATTATAGAAACCAGCGAACTCTATATCGATTAATAATATCGCCTATCCAACACTAACTGTACTTTAATGAGTAATTAATCTACTTGGATAAAAAAAAAAAAAAAAAAAAAAGAAAAAGAACATTAGTTGCGATACTGTACACTCCAGTGAGACGCTATTGTCAGTGGAGGTCGTTTAATTCGTTGAGCGGGAAATTCAAACATTTAATTCCCATTGGCTGATTCGATCACATAACCTCTTTCATTGGTCAATTTTATACTTCCCGCTCAACGAATTAAACGGCCTCCACTGTACGTATATGTGTACAGTATGTTGTATGCGGAGGAGGATGCTGCAGCAGAGCAGATCGAGAAAGAGGGACGGAGAGAGAGAGAGAGCAAGATCTCTCTCGGGGCGTACCTTAGCCGCCTACAGAGGCCGGCCATTGGCTGAGCAGCTCTCTCGGCCCTTCTCTCGGTCGATCTTTTGCGAGAAGAGAGGAGGCTCTCTCGCTCCCAAGGAAAGGACGTGTCCGCCCCACCGCCAATCAGCAGCTTCCGCTAGATAAGCACCGAATGCTGCGCGCGCATCGGCTTTCCGAGTCCACGTACTCCACGTATATGTACAACATATACGCACAACCTCTTACAGAGTTTGCATCAGAACTGTGTTTGGTATGATGAACCACGGTCATGCTTTCCGTGGGGGGGGGGTGTAATGTACCAGGGTTGGTGCTTTTGGAGACTGGGATTCCCCTGTTTTTGTGGTTTGACAGTGGACAGTGAACATTTTTTTTTTTTTTTTTTATCGACTCAAACATTCGTGGTGAAATGTACGGAGAGGATACATTGAATATATAATATACAGGTGAATCGGGATAAAACTTTGTATTTAACTTTAGAAAATTTTATCAGCAAAGTATAATTGTTTTCGGTAAACGTTCCCATCGTTCTTTTTATCACTTCTCCTCAACTATCCTTATTAAAATAACAATAATTGTGTCAGGCCTTGCGACCCGGGGCTGCACCCTCGCCACGTAGACATGTATAATATCTATATCTGATATACTTTTCAATAGCACGAGTGGACCCCGGCCTCCTTACCTGAACAAAGTTTCGAGTAATTACTCCGTAAAATGTAGTATACAGGCATGTAAGTATAACCGGAGGTAGGTAGGTAGGTAGGTATAATATACAGGGGCGTTTTTCTTGCAGAGCCGTAACCATTGGCAACGCGCTTCTCCCCTTCGCGCACACAAACTAGAGAAAGAGAGAGAGAGCGCTCGCGTCCGCCACCATCTTCTTCCTCCTCCGCTCCCCCGGAAACACACCCGCGCTCTCGGTCGCCCTTCTCCCACACATAATTTTTTTTTTTTTTTTTTTT